ATGGTGCAATAAAGAATACACAGCACCTACCCATCACAGCATGGACTACGCTCACTAGAGGCAGCAGCACTACATTCCAGGAATATTTACCAGACCACAGGACAAACTATCTCTCAAAGAGCCACAGGTTTAAGACATGGTTCACTGCTGCCAAAACCAAGTTATTCTGAAGAATTAATCAACCAGTTTTATGCAATTCAGGCAGATCTGCCTCCTCATGACTTCAGGGAAACATCAAAAAATGGTGACCACTTGTTAGACTTGTGTCTTTTGGCTCTGCATGGTCTCTATTAGTACAATATACTTCACAGGCATCTCAACTTCGATAAGTTGGTGTTTTTTGTTTTTTTTTTTTTTTTTTTTTTATCCATTTCAATGATAAGTTGGTGTTTTTTGTTTTTTGTTTTTTTTTTTTTTTTTCAAATCCATTTGAACTGCAATGATTTCTAAAGTGAAAAAAAAATTCAAATGCTTAATTAAAATACAAATGGCTCCTGAAGCTGTGATAGTCAACTTAGCAAAATGAATGCGGAATGAAGTTCTTACCTGTGTTTCCTGACTGGAGTGCAGCAGGTTTGAGCGGAAAGGCGCTGAAGGACCTTCAGTGTGTGTGACCAGAACCCGGCTTTCAAATGCTTAATTAAATACAAACGGCTCCTGAAACTGTGATAAAGTCAACTTAGCAAAAGGAATGCGGAATGAAGTTCTTACCTGTGTTTCCTGACTGGAGTGCAGCAGGTTTGAGCGGAAAGGCGCTGAAGGACCTTCAGTGTGTGTGACCAGAACCCGGCAGGGGCACAGCTCCGGAGCTCCTCAGCTGTGGGGAGCTGGTGCCATGGAGGCCATGGAAACACAGCCCTAGCAAGTGCCTGCACTCATATCTGTGCACTTTCACCTCTCCCCCCTCTCCCAGAGCAGTGCCTTTCCAAGAGGTTAAAGCAGCAGAGGGACTCCTGCACTGCAGCCCATCACCCAGGCTACAGCAGGTAAAGCTGCTCTGGAACAACCTTCTGTCACAGGTAAGGGAGGAGTGCCGAGGCCAGCCTCACACTCTGAACATGCTACGACCTGTTTCCAAACCAGAAACTGCACAGAATATCCATCATCTACATGGGATTCCTGCTCATTCACATTCATAGGAACAGGATTTGGACCCAGGTCAATATTCAGCAAATGCCTAATGATCACCAAAACAAAAACCCCAAAAGTGCTGAAACAAACTTGCTACAGCTACAGGTCCAAGTGGGAGACCAGAAACAATCAGGTTATGAAGGCCTAAAAAGGCTGTACTTGAAAAATGTTTCCTACTACATACAAGAACAAATGCAGGATGTGATGTTTGCTTAGTTTTATTAATTTATTTTTGCAGGAATCTGCAACTTGGAGTATGCACTTTCTGGAGGTACCATGCATGCATAGCCTCTGAATGCTTTTATACAATTTCATCTCTTAGTAATAAGTTCATTCACAGCATACACAAATCTAGAATGTAGACACCATATATACAGGATTAAACAAGATCGTGTCTTCTTTTTTTAATGAAAAAATTTAACAGGGTTTCACACAGCAGGAAGTATGGATTAGATACACTGGTGCCACCATAAATAAATAAGTTTCAAGAACACAGTTTTTTAAAATTGGTTTCAAAGATACTGGAAATCCAGGATTATAATATTGCATTAACTCCATTGATTTCTGATTATTCCAAGAAAAATATTTGCATTTATGGACATATACAGCAATGAAAGCCCCAACTGAAGAAATGTGGCAAAACTCAGTCATGTCTGGGTTCATGTAGATTGACTTTTTGAAATGAAAACAAATGCAGCTGCACACAGAGACAGTACTGACTGTGAGATGTGATACCTGTGCATGTCCTCCTTCCTTGAGGAATTTGGAGTCACTGCAGTACAGAACACACCAATTCTGTGGTACCAAATTGGCTGTTGAATTCTTTATGTCCGACTATCCACTTCTCATCAGGATAGTCATGTTCACATTCTAGGGTACACTGGATTTTAAAAGAACTATCATCCTGATGACAAGCTTGTTTTTAACGTATTTAATATTCTCACATTCTTTTTTAAAACATTCTTTATTGTTTTTATTTTGTCCCCATTTCAACTCAAGTATTTCTATTTCAGTTTCAAGGGATTTTACAATCAATATTAAATGTAGAAGTATTTAGAAATTGAAAAAGTGTTTAGAAATTGAAGTGAGAGATTTATAGCTGGGAGAGATAAAGTAACTGAGAGAAAAGCTGGGTTTAAAAATAAAAACAAACATGATTCAGTAGCATATCATAATCAGAAAGTACTGAGACCAGCTCTTTTAAGAATTATTACACCTTTTCACCACACCTCCCATTTTTCAAGGGAAACACACACATACCACAGACACACAGATACACAATTCAATCTAAGACTACATTTTACAAATGTAAATGTACTTCCTTTCATTTTCCTTTCCCACCCCCTTCCTCTTCACCCAAACAAGACTAATAATAACAACATCAAATTAAAAGTAGATTCAAAGTTCAGTATTTCTTTTGGTTTACTATGTTCTGAACAATTTTCCACAAGTCCCACTCTAAATAAACTTTTAAAGAACTACAGCAGTATCCTATAATTAAAGGGAATTCATCTTAATAGCACAGTAAATATAAAATAAGCTTTATAAAATTTCAATGAACAGTGAGATCATTTTGAAAAACTGAATGTCCGAGTCAGTTACAAACTCTACCAATCTAGTAGCATGGTTGAGGGAAAGCTGAGTCATTAAGGAAGAAAGAAAACACAAGTAGTGCATTAACTCAATACAACAGCATCAGCATCCCAACATTCTTTCTCTCTCTCTCTCACACACACACACACAAGTTTTATACAATACAGTGCATTTTGTTGCCAGCTGACATTAGGGTTTTATGTGCATTCAATAAATATTCCATAAACCAATCTTTTTGGTATAATCTACAATTCAGTTGGGGTTCGAATGGCATCACCTGCTTTCAGAAGGAAAATGGATCTTCCAATATTTAAATACAATTACATTCTAACAAACTAGAAATCTTCAAGCACCATGTCAAGTCTTTACTATTAACGTCTGAGTATGGGCATTTACAAATAAAAGAATACAACAGAAGGGTGTGGGGTTTTCTTTGTTTGTTTGTACAAGCAACAAATGAGAGTATTTATAAAAACGAGTAAAGTCATTGGTACAAAGGACTTATTTTTCAATTTAATGGCGCTCACTCACTCTCCCAATGAGTATCTTGCTGTGGTGGCAGCCCTCCTTCTCTTCCTCTGGTGAAGCTGGGACTAAGATTTGCAAGTCTCCATGTAAGGTTATTGCAGTTCAGGGCATTTTTGGACTGAATGAATATTTGCACCTCCTCCTTTGAAAGTAGCATCTCTTCTGTCTAAAAATGGCACAACTGTATTTTTGCATGACACCCCTACTCTCATTTGCTGACTGTCACTTCAGTTGCTATCTTTTTTGTAATTCCAGCAAAAACAAATGCTTCTAGAATTTCACCAGAAGTACAAAGGAACAGAAAATTGAAATAATACAATGGCAAAGGCATCAGGATAGAAAAGTCATGAAGTTACTGGTATTGTTTGGAGTCATTCGTTATACAGCTGATAGCAGCAATGCTTCTGCTCATCTGTTTCCTAGTTCTCAGTTTTGTCAAACTGTCCACTGACATGCACAAAATTAATACCTGGCTTTTAATTTCAGCTGACAGTAACTGACAGTAACTTTCTTACCCCCTTCCACATGTGATGAGTTCCCCTCACAGCAGTGTAAATCACTAGGAAGGAAGGAAAAGTATCTCTGATGCCTTTGACTGAGTTTTGCTCATTAGTGGTGCACACTGATTGCTGGAGATCTCTTAGCTTATTTTAAATTATCCTGAAGATTTAGTGCAAGAACATATTGAAAAATGCCAGATAAAATATTGGTTCCTCATCTAAGATCAACAGTTTGGTTCTTACTGTTGTCTTTATAAACTGTGGGGAAAGAAGACACCAGATTGAGCAATGCAGTCAAGATGAGTTTTTCTCCACCCACCCCTTGCAAATGCTGCTTTATTTTAAATAAGGATTCAGACATATGATTGTTCTACCACAGCTTAGCATGTTATCACACATCGAGTGAACTGTGGTAATTGACAATATGGATGTGGCTGCCATGAGCTAAGAACAGCTTAAAATGAAGCAGTTTCAAACTCTCATGGTAAAGTTAATAGCAAATTTTCCTTTAGCAAGTCAATTACCATAATTCAGCTGAAGTGCTTGGCTGCATCTCTGAATTGTGATGAAGTTATACCATAAAAACTCAAATGCACTGTACCAGCCCCTGACCAGTACACAGAACACCCTGCTCAGTCACACAGTTGTGTCACAGAATCATTCAGCTGCCCAAACCCAAGTTTGACCTCAAAGTATCGGGTGCTTTATTCCAGCAGCCTGAAGCATTCAGACAGATTGAACATCACCTTTAGAACACAGTGTATCATAGGCAGATAAGTACCAGTAGGATTTTCAATTGCAAATCTTGTGTTCTTTAACCTATGACAAATATTTCCTGACCAAAATAGAAAGAATGCAGTGTGTAATTCTTCAGGATCTGGCATCTGCTATTTTGTACAGGCTGGTTTATTAATAATGTGCAAATAAACCTTTACTGAAGAGCTGATTAATAATTTTTCAGCTAACTTTGATCTGGGGCACAAAGTACCTTCTGTGCTGTAAACACCATGAATTCTTCACAAATTGGAAGCTGAAAAGGCCTAAGGAACTGGGTACAAACTCTTCTCAAACACAACCATGGCTGAGCCCAAGTCTTCCAAATGGAATTTGGAGTAGCCTGTGTATGGCATATCTCACCGTGCTGCTGCACAGCACAGGCTCAGAAGGCTGTATAGAAAAGCATCCTTTGAGCTTGGAAACACGACGGCCCAATGAAAGCATGCAGCAGGATTTTCATCCGCAACGCGGTAGAATTCATTCTCGGTTTATTACCAGTGTTGACACAGCCAGGTGGGCACTGTACAAGCAAACGCGATTGTAAAAAATTACCTCTGATTACACTCTCTGTAACACTCACACGGTTCCTCATTTCGTCACCTCAGGTCACTATTTCAAACAGCAATTTTTTGTAGACATAAGTTACCCTGAAAAAAAGCAGCAATTACAAATACCCTTCTCCTTGTTTTTTCATACATTTCAAAATTTATCACTGCATTTACCTGTCTTCTTTTTCAGTAGCTTACAATCTAGAAGCACAGGGAGCCTTTGTTTTCCAGCTGGCTGTGGCCAGGTTAAGTCAGCTCTGGCTCTTCAGTTTTTCTGGTTAAGTGTAACACTTCACACCGTTACTAAGAGTCCTATAATTTTCTTTAAAAAACCAGTAGTTTTGGGTTGGTTGTTTTTAGAGCCACTAAGCAGTAACTAACCACAGGAATAAATACCAGTAGTTATTTGCTTTCCTGCATACATTCTTCTCAAAATTAATCCTTTTACATTTTCAGGTTTCGTTTTCTGCTTTGCTCACTACAATGGGAAGGAATTTAACCCTTAATTAATTTATTTTCTAGTGCAGCAGAAGCAGAAACATCCCAACACATTACTCCCAACCCCTTGCAGTATGAAGATTGTTGACTGGCAAAGGCCGGGCAGGTGGACTGAAAGGTTCCCCATGTTTCCTTCTCTTACAGCTGTTGGCTTGAGAGCCTGTGTTCAACCCAGTGCAGCCCTTTCCTGAATTTCAGGTGTATCGTGGCATTTCACACTGCTCACAGCGATTTAGTGCTGGGTGATTTAGAAAGGTGCAGCTCCCACAATTCCATGGGGCCCCTTCAAAGTCTTCATCTCTTGGCTGAGTCCGTGGAGTCTGTTTGGAGCTGTTTTGATGCTCTAGAGAAAAGCCAAAAGAAAACATTTTATTTCAGAAGATAAGGATTAATATCAAGATCACACTACTGAAAGGTCACCTAATCAAACAGTCTACCTTAAAATAAACATGGAAACCTTCTCCTAAAGCACTTCTAATTCAGTTTGTGAAATCTGAATATTTGAATATTTCACTTCTGTAAAGAGGCACTTAACTGTAACACTTTAAAACCAAGAAGAGAACTCATCCCTGTAAGGTCACTGATACTGCTAAAGGTTTAATAGCTTAAAGTATGTAAGTTTGTTACAGGAACTGCAGTGCCATCCTGTTAAGGTTTACACACAGCAGTCTATTTCCAAATACTTAACTACAATAACCCTGCTTCACCTGAAGGGGAAAACTACTTCTATCTTAGCTGCTTCAAGCAATCTAACAAAAGACATATTATTTCTAGCATTAATTCAGGCTGAAAAAGAATACAATCTAAAAATAAAATGACAGGCCTATTTCAATACAAGACAATTCTTCCTCATGCCTTTGAAGCAGGGATATATGTACATGAATCAGCATTTAAGTCTGTTTTCACTCATAAAATCATTATGTATGCAAATCACACAATAGGCTTTAACCCACAGAAGCACTCAGTTTTCTATGTCTCCTGACACCACCTCAACACCTTAGGTTATCTACTCTAAGTAAGGAATACTCCCAGGATGTGGAAACACATTAGAAAACGTTAATATTTATTAACATTAACACATACCTACAAGGTATGCCTAGGATACCCAACTGCTAAATATCTGTGAACTCATGTCTAACAAAGGCCTGCAATTTGTAACTGCACACAAAGTAATTTGCCCCACCTGCTAAGAAATGCAGCAGACCTTGACAACCACCTTGGTGCAGATAGTACTTAAGTCTTCGGAGACAAACAAAGGAAATAAAAGTAACCTCTTTGCTTAGATGCAGTGTCCAGGCCAGAAGCTGCACAGTCACATCAGCAGTGCTTGACCTCAACAAATTCCTCCTAAGCCAGGCAGTGTGGGCACTCGACTGCGTGCCACTGACTGGCCAGATGGCAGCACAGAGCACACCCTTGTCTGCCCACACCCGTCTGTCTGCCCACACCTCCAACAGCTCAATATTAAACAATATTTGTTATTTAAGAAAAAAAAAATTGATGTCTCCATGTAACAATCCAAGCTCTGAATACAGTACAGCAGCCCTACAAGTGATCTCTGATAAGCTGGCAGACAAAACCTGGAAGCTCATTGTACAAATCCTTACAAGGCACTATCTTCCTAACTACCAAATAAAACAACTTATTTCGCATGAGTTTTGCACATTATTTTGCTTTGAAATAATACATTAAATATGGTAGTGTAATTAAGAGAATGTCTTCAAGCACCACAAGGTTAATAATTCCTTAATCAACCGCATGATCACTGCAATTTAAGGTGACTCCAGCCAGGCACACCATGGTTCACCTGATGCTACTGCTTTCCTGGACACTACCACCTAATGCAGGGAACTCCTCCCAGTATTATCTTTTCTTTGAGCCACGAGCAGCAGTTCTAAGCCTTCTCTTTCTGTTAAATTTCCACACAGTAATAATTTTATTACATTGAGGGATAAAACACTTGCTTCAAAGGAGGGGGAAAATTTCTTAATATGAATTCAAAATTCACCTACAGAAACCTTTGTGGAGTGTAATCAGCAACCAGAATCGATTTACAAACTTTGGAGAGTTAGGGAGACTGTAGAATTATTGACTCAGAAGAGCTGCTTCCTTTCCACTAACAAGTGCAGTACATGCTAGTTACAGCAAGAGGAGACACAATATTGTAAATCTTATCACACATAACATTTTCAGGGAAAAGATAGCTGGTTTTTTCAGTATTAGAGCATAGAGCATAGGATCCCACATTGGCTATTTCAGCTATTTTTTCTAATAGGGAATAACTATTTATAATCAGGGTGTTATTAACAGAACATTCATACACAACAAGCTGCCTGAGGAAAACAAATTCAAGCCAGGATTACTGCACTTATAGAAAAATGTTCTGGTTTGAATTACAGACAGAAAAGTTAAATAACTAGAGCTACTTCCTGTCACCATAAGGATTGTTTAAAAAAGAAAAAATACCTCACTCAATGCATATTTGGTGATAATGCCTGTTTGTTGACCTACCTTTTTTATATGGCTTTGGTGGCACAACAGGACCAGGCTCTATGTTATCATAGAAGTTACATGTGGCTTTCGGATCAAAGTTTCCTGTCAGAAAAGGAAAAGAAAGTGTAAGTTGAAGATTATTTAAATGCTATGCCAGTGACATGAACATCCAAAGGCTTCTTATTTTATACATCCTATTATGACATTGTATCTTAGCTTTTTCACAAGTTTTGTCACACATTTTTAGTTTTCTGTCAAACACAGTAATTTTTAGCAGGGCAATCCCATATTGAAAAATCAACTCCAGCTCAACATTTTGCATTGCCGTGAAAACATGTGAAATGTATGTCTTCCTACAGGATACTTCCTTAATAAAAAGGGACTGCATATCCTAATCTGTTTGATTCTATTTAAGACAAGTTTCTGGTACAAAAAAAAGCCTTTTAAAAACCCTAGTAAATTTCTGTTTGCCAGACTCTTGGTTGCAACTCATTGTTCAGTTCTGTATTACTTGGCCACAGCCTTTATCAGCAAAAAGTTAAAATTTTAAGTGAAGGATCTTCACAAAGGAGCAATTTTTTTAATATGCTCTTGGCAAAGTCATTTATATCACCACTTTCTTGCTAATGGAATTTAACTTGGCCAACAGAAGTATTAGCAAGCCAAATTTATTAGGTTGCAACTGAAAAAACACCCACCCTTTAGAGGTAAGTTGTCACTGCTAATATAAATTGAACTCTAAAAACTCCAAATACTCACATTTAAGCACCTCATATTAGAACCATAGGATTATTTAGGTTAGAGAATACCTCAAAATCATTCAGTCCAACTGCTACCCCAGCACTGCCAAGTCAATCACCCCTGTCCTCAGGAGCTGCATCTATAGGTTTTATAAATACCTACAGGGATGGCAACTCCACCACTTCCCTAGGCAGCCTGTTCCAATACTTGACAACTCTTGCCCTGAAGACATGTCCCTCATACCCAATCTAAACCTGCTCTGGTGCAACTTGAGGCTGTTTCCTCTCATCTGTCACTTGTTACCTGGCAGAAGAGACTCCACCTCATCACAGCCTCCTTTCACATTCTTGTAAAGAGCAGTGAGGTCCCCCTGAACCTCCTTTTCTCCAGGCTGAACACTCAGAGCTTCCTCAGCCATTTCTCACAGGACTGACTCTCCCAACACTTCCCCAGCTCTGCTGCCCTTCTCTGGACTCACTCCAGCCCCTCAGTGCCCTTCCTGTAATGAGAGACCCAAAACTGGACACAGGATTTGAGGGGTGGCCTCACCAGTGCTGAGGACAGGGGACAATCCCTGTCCTGGTCCTGCTGCCACACTATTGCTCATCCAGGCCAGGGGCCTTTGGCCTCCCTGGCCCCCTGGGCACACCTGGCTCATGTCCAGCTGCCCCTGACCAGCATTCCAAGATCCTTTTCCTCCAGGCACCTTTCCAGCCACTCTTCCCCCAGCCTGTAGCTCTGACTGGGGTTGTTATGACACTTTTTGAACCCCATTGATCCAACCTGTCCAGAGCCCTCTGCAGAGCCTTCCTACCTCCAGCAGACTAACATCTGTAACCATATCCAAATGATGTTTCTTAAAAAGTATCAATTCAATACCTCTAGATTGAAGGAGATCAACTTCTTTCAGCGTACAGTCAACATTTATCTGGAGTTGTCTGTTGAGGCTTCTCAATCTGGTCATTTCCTCAGGCTAGAAAGAAATATCCCAAAATAGTAATTGTGGGAAAGTCAGCATCTTATTTGAAACAGAAATAACATTGTTATTTGTTAATATTTTTAACAAATTTGTTATTTGTTAACATATTGTTAACATTGTCTTTGTTAACAGCTTTACTAAAAACTGAGTATAGATAAGGCACTGAAAGAAGTCCAACTGTCTGGCCTACTACCCCTAACTCACTTGCCCTCAAAATCATTCTTCTATTGGTATGTGAGTAGGAAAACAGGCAAGTTACTCAATATTAAAATTCATTAGTAAGATGACACAGCTGATCTCAGGTTTATAAAACCAGACATGTTTCTAAATTCTGTATAAATGGATTACTTGCTACCCAAGTTTGCATCAAGATCATCAAAAATAGAATACAAACTGCAGCCCACATTAACTATTACTTGCTTATAACTGAATGAGGTCAAAAGTTTATTCATTTGCAGCAACCCAAGAATCTCCAAGAAGCCAAACCTTTTAGCCCAGTATATTTAAATCATTCAGTGATGAAAGATTGCAATTATTCTTAACAGCATGATCAGTTATTTAAGTGCATATATTTGCATATCATTAAAATCCCTAAGTTACTGGAATGCAAAGCTGTCTTAATGCTAGCAGCATCCATCACTAACACATTTAATCCTAGGATACATTTCAGCACCACAGTCACAAATCACAGAATATTCAAAGTCACAAGGAACCTCTGGAGGTCATCTAGGACTTTGTATCCTAGAAGTTTACCAGATCGGCCAAGCTTGGCTTCCCCTTGGTGAATCTATGTGACTACTGCTGACCACATTCTTGTCCTTCATGTGCCTGGAAATGGTCAGCAGCATTAGCTGCTCAATCACTTTCCCAAGGATCAAAGTGAGGCTGACCAGCCTGTAGTTCCCTGGGTCCTCCCTTTCTTGGAGACATCAGTGATATTTGCTCTCCTCTAGCCTGTGGGAACTTTCCCACACACCATTAGTGAACCAAAGATTATCTGGAGTGGCCTTGCAATGACACCTGCCAGCTCCCTCAGCACTCACAGGTGCATCTCCTCCAGGATTATGACCTCGTGTATGACTACTTTGCCTAAGCATTCCCTGACCTGATTCTCTTCCATTAAGGGTGTACCTTCCTTGCTTCACACTTTTCCCAGGGTCTCTGGGACCTGGGATTCCTGAAGGACTGTAAAGATTGAACCAAGAACTTCATTCAGTATCTCAAGCCTTTTCCATGTCCTACATAACCATGCCCTCCAATTTGCTGAGCCCAAATTTTCACTGGTCCTCCTGCTGTCACCTAGGCAGTAACAGAAGCCTTTATTTTGGTCTTTGAAATCCTGTGCCAGATTCACCTCCAGCTGGTCTCTGGCTTTCCTAATCTCATCCTGGCACACTCAGTGCCTCTGTACTTCTCCCAGGTACATCTGTGCCAAATGCTGCCCTGAAACAGGTGAGACATAGAACAGCCACAGCAGCAAAGCAGCCAACAGCCCTTCTGTGCCTTCCAGCCTACACCTGTGTGCATTGTTTGCATCAATACAGCCAGTAAGTCTGAGCTGATTTGCTTAACAACTACACACAGTGGAAGCTATTTTTCAGCCAGATGAATTCCCTTATCAGAACCACACACATGTTTGGGCTAGAGTTACTTGCAGGTGGAAGTCACACAGATAAGAAGAATCAACAAGGAAAAAAGGAGAGTTCCAACTATTTCAGGCAACATTGCCACTGAAAAGTTATTTGGCACATCCTGCACATACCAAAAGAGAAATACTGTCTATGAGAAGCAACGACTCAAACAATAAAACAGCTTTTTAAAAACAGAAGTTAAACCTTCCTTCATGAACACCAAGCTCTATATAGCTAAGGCTTATTGAATAGACTTGGACATACCTTTACTGGTTGTTAAGAAACCAAGTATATTAGTTCTGTTGTTCACAAAAGCACACGCATACAAACTTCAACCTTCTGAAGTTTTGCTGGGAACACCAAGAAAACTGCATACCTGTCCGTTTCATCAACTACAAGAATTAGCTTATGACAAGTCCAGTACTTAAAACGTCCCCAAAGACTGACGATTTTATACTTATAAGTATTTTTGAACAGTACCTCAGTTTCATCAAAACACAAAAAATAAATGTGTATGTTGAATTAAAATACTAACAAATTGCTTACTGTGGGAATTGCAGTTGTACAGCTGACTCTCCGAAGCCGCCTCTGCATCAGATCATGCTCCATGCCATTGACTTCAGTCTTCAGGCGTTCAAGCTCTTCTTTCTCAAGCTTCAGTTCCTTTGCTAATCTCTCCATCCTTGCCCGTTGATGTAACAGCAAGGCTAATGTTTTACACAGAAAAAATAGTTACTAGCACATAAAAATCTGAACACTGAATTCTTAACTTATGCATAAGATTCATGAGTGACCCTTCTGGAAAAAAAAAGGTGATCGTAGACATGCAGCCAAATATCAGTGTGAAGATGCTTTCATGCCAAATGAACAATTTAGAAGTTCTTCCAGAATAAAAACACATTTTATACAGTAACTTGAAGTTGTTATTACCATTTTGGTCAAAGCTTCTTTTTTTGCATTTGGTCTTTCTCGTCTCAAAAATACAAAGGCACCTGTACAAGGAGACAGCTTCTCAGGATGAAACAGCAACCTAGTTATAATACTAATACTCTACTGACAAAAAAAAAAAATACCAGAGGTAAGTCCAGAAAGTAACACACACTTCATACGTGCTGCTCAACAGCAGCTGACACACCAGCCCTGAGACATTAGCCAAATGTCAGTCCCAAATTTGTTTTTTTCACTGCTATTATAAACTGTGGTATAACTTCTAAGAAGTTTTAGCTTTTCAGGAAATATTGTAATCCTCAATACTGTAAGTTCCTAAGGGTTCAGAGGGAAAACTACAGAGCTTCAACAAAATAAACTAGAGAATCCAAAAAATAAAAAGTTGAGTCAGCTCAGGCGCTTCAGATCTTAATTTTATGACAGATCGATTTCTTCAACCTCTCTCTGCCGTTAATTCACTCCCTCATTTTCATCATGGTACTGAAATTTATGACTTTCAGTCACAAAGTGATGCTGGGGTCCCAGAGAACCTAAGAAAAGAATTTTGACTAGCTAGAAGATAGTATTCAGTTTCCTAAAGAAGAGTATTTCTCAGTATTTCATCACAATGCAAAGCTGGCCAAGTCAGTGCGATGCTTAATCCTTTCTGATCAGGCTGGTTTTACCTGACTGAAGTCTGCTAGGACAGAGAAAAAGAAGACATTTGATGTGGGTATTCAGACAAACATGCTGCTCATGTAACAATATTCCAGCAAACTGCTCAAGGTAAGGACGCTGTAGAACCTGCAAAATGCTACTTCATGAGAAGTCCCATCCAGAACTTGCCCTTTTCTTCATCCCATCCAACAAAGGCAAAGGAAAAGCACATAACATCCAAGAATATTAACATATGAGCTAAAAAGAATTAGAAAAATAAGTAACAACATGACAACTTACTGCAAAAGAACACCCCAACCTGTCAGAAGCAGATATCAGCATTCCACACAAAAATGTAGCCCTGTAATTTGGATTTTGTATGGATTCACCAATTCATGGCCAACAAATAAACACCAAAGAGCCTAGCCAAGAATAACATCAGGTGTTTTTACACTACAGGCACCAGAATTACTGAACAGAACTGCTCTCTACTTTTTCAAGTAGCATAAGTCATGCAAGCAGAATTAAGAAAAAAAGTACAGATATCAGAATGATTTTCCACTATTGTTACCAAACCCTGTCTCTGTGTGATTCCTTCAACTTAACATGGTGTGACTACATTTCAGAGCTTCACATTATACTCTAGTACAACTCATCAGATATGACTCATATTACAAAGAAGCAAAGTACAGAAACCAGAATGAATTTCTGGTTACACTTTTTACAATGACTCAAATTCCAGCGAAAATTAAACAAACTTGTTCCCTAAATAAGCTGTTAAATACACTCCTTTGTGGTAGTAAAGAATAAAATGTTTATTCTTTTACAATATATTTCTATCAAGAGTTCAGAGTGCAGCAATAAAAAAAAGCTCTGGTAGGTATTGCCACAAATGTAATCACCCCAAAAAGCATGTACTAATTAGTTTTATTTGCTTTGCTTTTCAGAGACACAAATCTAGTGGAAGGCACAAAGGCAAAACCAGGTCTTACATTTCAGAACATATTTTTCACAGCTATGTGAAGCTACTTGTATCTTTCTCACATAATTGACAACCTCTACTGAAGCTGTAATAGTAACACTACCAAACAAAGCACGAGGTCTCAGTTACAGACCTACTGGCATTCATTCTTACTGAAGAATTGGGTCTACAGAATTTCTAATTGGATCTACGAGGTACAAAACAGCTTTGTTGAGGAGTTAGAAGAGCTCAAAAGGCAGTAAGTGAAATAAGAAATCAAGAACTACAGAGCAGCACTATAAGCTCTCCCTTCAGTTCTCTGAAGTAAAACAAAGGCTAGAAGGAACAACAGAGGAATAGACTCCTCTTTCCAAACACAAATCCAGAAAATACCTGTTGCAGGTTATCATTCTGTCATTACCCAAGTGACTGGATTGAATGCTTGCAGATTGATTCACTTGCTCAATTTTAAATGCTTCAAATCTACACAGCAGATTACTCTAAGAAAAGTAGTTTTCATCTCAGGATTAACTCCACATTTTTTTTCTTTACTGAATTACCAAATTCTTCATTTATAGAATTTGAAATTCTATAAATTAAAACTATGTTTCATCCCTGTGCAGCAGAACACACATCCTGAAATTTGTCTGCCAATCTCCTCTTCCTCTTTGAAAACTCAGAGTGGAAGAAGTAAACTTTTGATTTAAGTTCTTCAAAATAATTGTTTTATTACCTTTATTGGCAAAGTTTTTTTAGCTGCATTCTTATCTCTCTCTCTCTTCTCTTTGACTTAATATTCTTCAATCTAAACCAAATGCAGAAACATTTCAGGTGTTCTAAAACACTTGAAAAACATTATAAAAATTTGCATGTAGATTTATGACCCAGTTCTTCAATGCAGAATTGACAAAACTGACACACAGTACATGAACAAACTACTTGTCATTGTTAATTGCAGTGTTTTAAGAAAGCCCCCTAACATGAGAAGTACAGCAACATTAAGACCCTTAGAAATTCTTTATGTATTAGACTGAAATTTGGTAGTATTCAAAAAAAAAATCAGCAAAAACGGTCTGATTTTTGACAGTTTCTATGTTTCTCTGTACAGGTTCAAAAATTCTCACTAAGCAGCAAAATCAAACTGAAAATGCATTTTACAACACCACTATTTGCAGGGTGAAACATTTACCTTGAGTGTAAGCATAGTCGTCTGATCCAGAACTAGAACTTCTCTGATACTTATGGCTTCCTTTTTCTCCTCCAGATCCTGGGATTACAGAAATAGGCTGAATAGGTTCTGGTGCTGCAGAACGCTCTTCTTGGTCCACTAAATTTAAAAGATTCTCAGTCGGTGCTCGACCTACTGTGATTTTAAAAATGGTTGGGTTTGGCTGAGATACCATTACCCGAGGAGACTGTGTTGGTGCACCTGCAGGTCCAGCTGGCTGAGTGTAGGTAATATACACTGGATTAACACTAAATGGAGGTTTGGGTTGTCCCGACATACCTCTGGATGGAGAGCTTGAAGGAGGAGTAGTGGCTGCATACAGCGGGTGCTGGTTTCGCTGAGATGGTTGATTACTTATAGGTGAAGGGCTTCTGTTCATTGCAGTCCCAGGTCTTTGCGGTGGCTCAACTGTAATTTCTATTTTATTCATGGAACCTTTGGATAAACTAGGTCCAGCAAAAGGAGGAAGGTACGATACAGAGTGACCACCTTGCTTTTGAAAAGTCTGGGATGCTTGCTGATATGGATGGGGTGGGACAGTAGAAGGACTAGGAGGCATGAAAACATGTGAACTCTGGTGACTCAGCTGAGGAGGTTGAACTTGGTGTTGAGGAGAGCCGAAGGGAGAGGGACACTGGGACGCCGGTGGTGATCGAAAAGCCGACTGAGGGATCTGGGGTTGTTTTGGAGAATACTGAGAGGGTTGGTAGTTCTGTTGATGTGGATATACAGGTAGAGGACGAGGAGTATAATGTGGAACTGGGCCCTGTGGCGATGAATGCCACTGTGTATTCTGAGGAGTCTGTCGTCCTGAAGAACTTTGAGATGTTTGTCTAATATAAATAGAGCCAGGAGTCCCATAAAGATTGCTTGGAATCTGTGGAAGAATTTGTAGAGCTCTGGGTACACTCTGTCCAGAGGGGAGGTTTTGTGATACTGTAACAGTAATGGGATTTGTACTGTACCGAGGTATGTGCATATACGTGGGAGGGCCTTGCATAGCAGACGTGTTCATTCCTGGTTGTATGGAAGATGGCTGTGGAGGTGGCTGTGGAGGAGGAGTAGCTGCATTTCTATTCTGGTCATTCACGAAAAATGGATTGTAACTAGGAGAAGCTGCCACAACGGCGGGAGCAGAATGTGGTTCTTGAACTAAGCAAATGAGCTGTTTACCTGCCGTGCGCTGTGGGTCAATGTGTCCATCGCTTGAGCTGTGTACCAGTGTACGACCACCATTAAGTTGAGCTCCATCCCCCGCGTGATAGCTGGTATGAGGATGAATACCCAGATTAATGTGCAAAAGGCTATTTCTATTCATTCTGGTGTCATCAGGGCTGTGGTACTCCATATACAAATACTTGCTGCTCTCCTGTGCGAGGGCTCGACAACAGGCATCGAGGTTGTTGTTGTTCTAGGAGCAAGAACAGGCACCGTTACTGTCACAGAGCACAGGAAAGAGCCAGCACTCTGTGTTCAACATTCAGCTGAGGCCGCAACCAGGCCTAGCCCGGACACAGCTAGGGGTAACGTTTCATACACAGGTATTGTGAAATAAAGATGGTATGCAAGTAACACATAGCTCACATTGCATCTGGCAATGCTCTGGTAACACTAGTTACACTATGACATATCAAAAAAACCCCCCACGTCCAGTTTTGGGAAAGCAATGGTTACAACTCTATGCATGTTCTTCACGGAACAAGTCTGTACAATTAATTACTTCTAGTAACAACACAAATCAAATTAAACTAGATCAAAATTGCAAACTCTGAAAAAGCAAAACAAAAATGCAGATAACATTTCAATGTTTATCTGAGTATTTACTGCTTTCACTTTCAGTTTACTGTTTACCTGACTATTTCTCTTAACCCAGAAGTTTAAAAACTCAGTATTTTAAACCAGCTTTTATTGGTAGAACAGTATTTAATACCTTAACAATGAAGTCAAAGTATTGCTTGAAGAAGTCCTGGGGATTCCATAAAGAACACTGCAATTCCAACCAAATTTAAACCGCTTTTAAGAATTTCAAGCTTAAGGCTAAAAAAGGTTTACTCATAGATCAGTGAGAAACCAAATAACCCTTTTAAATGTTTGATTTGTTCTGTAGTCCTGGCAGTTGAAACAATACAGACAATAAATTATGAATCAAATGAGAAATATAATGGGGAATTCCTTTTCCCTTCCTGCCCCTCTCCACTAATTTTAGCTTAATGTAGTCTGTTAAAAGAACAACACAAATGATAGCTTTTCCAAATGAGTAAAACCACTAGAAAGCATTCCAGATGGTGGATTTATTTTTCTCCCCACTTTATCATGTAACAGCCACCATCAGCTGTGGTTCAGATTTACTTTAAATAGCAGCTAAAGAAAACAAATTTCACTTTAAGTTCAACTAAATCTGGCCCCTAGCACCCTAACTTTGTTAAACATGACCCAAGACTGGTACCTTCTGTGACAGAGAGCACTGCCTTCCACGGCAAGTGTCTACATATTTATATATGCACACACACCCCTGCCTTCCTCAGCGTGCTAAAATTACCATTCTAAGGAATGGACATTAATAATGACTGCACTTCTATTTAAAACACTATCACTATCTATATAAATTTGTATGTATATATTACATATATACACATATGGCCTTGCAATACAATTTTCAACAGCCACTGGCTGAAAAATCATGTTACATTTCTTTTCTCATGGACTATCCCTAGTCAGTCTTAATATCAGAATGAAGGTGATTCCCCCATAATTTCATATGATTTCACTATGAGAGGAACTCACATATTCTGCATTTTCTCATATGTAGAGTTACTACTAAACAGGACAGAAGAGTGCGGCACTTAAATAGGAGCTCTCACTCTACAGACACTTCTCCCTGACAACCTCCCTTTGTGCTGAGCTCTCCTTCTAGACATCAGTGATCACTGGGAATGTCCAGACATATCACTAAAAATTTAAGACCAGAATATGTGGGAATCAGACCTTGTAATAACAACCAGCACCACAATGCCAAGACAGCAGTCTCAAAAAAGTGAACCACTACCATCAGCCACTTGCCATCTAAACAGATCTTCATGAACAGAGCCTTCAGTTTCCTTAGGTCACTTGGTCAGGGTGCAGGTAAAGAGAGCGTATACAGGACAGGCTCTGATCTGATTTTATCAGGGTATGGAATATATTTGTCATTTCAAAGGACCCTCAATTTTTGATGGGCCTAAAACTCCAAACTAAAACGCTATTTAAATCTAGAGCATTTATTGCAAATGGTTACTGGAAATCAGCACACGCATCTTTAAAATATAAAGTGGGTTTGGAGACAAAATCTGTACAAAAACATAAGTATGTGCAAAGTTAACTAGCTATCCAGAATGCCATATAATAGAGACAGAACAACATATGCTTCTGCAGGATTATGGGCTCTTTAATTTTATCAGTTTAAAAATGTGTATGACAAACACAGTTCATCAAAAGGTTTGTGTACTTAACAGTACAAAGATATGACTGTCAGGATAACTAAAGCTTTAAATTAAAGGACTTTCCCTGCTTTCATTTGTCTGAAAGCAATTAACTTTTATTTGTATGATTTAGAAGACAATGCAAAAATTACAACCTCTATTCTAAGTAAACCTACTCATCTGCTAGGGACAGGCAGGATGCAAGTACAGCTTTCCAACCTCAGCCATGGCCACACAAGGCCAAACCAGATCTTGCATGTTTCTATTCCATTCCTGATTCCTCCCATTAACTGAGGGTATTCCCAGAAGACCACTACTTATTACATGTGGTAACTTATTATCACTTCCAATTTCTGATTTGAGATGAAGGTGTAAGGATGAAATGGAAAGGAAAATGAGTACAGAAAGAAGAGCCACCACCTGACCTAGAAAGAGAGAAGTACAACTAAACCTCTGGAGAGCCATGAGAAAACGATACATGAAGAGGGAAAACTGCCAGATTGCTACCTAAGTCCAGCTCCTTATCTTGGAAGGATGAGTGACTGTTTACTAAAACCTCCTCCAGTATATGTATGTTATTTATGTAGCCATCACCAATTAACATTCCATTAGCCACTTTCTTTATTATCCATATGCATACAGTCACAGGTCACACAGACAATGAAAAAACATCAGTGCAAAATAACCTCCACGAACCTAAGTGAAGAATGACAGATTTTTTGTACCTAAAAGACAAGACAGAAATGCAAGTACTGGAGTCTTCCAACTTTTTAAAATAAAACCAGGAGAATGAAAATCTATGCTCCACATGTACTACTAGGAAGGGTATTCATACTGAACTCATAGATCATGCCAAAATAAAATACACAGACTCTTCACCATACCTGAAGCATGCACTGAGATACCACCCCTTCAGGTATCTCAGGGAAACGCTGCCGGAGATCATGGAGTACCTGCACATCAAGCTGTTGGCTGCCCTGCGCCATGCCAGATGGATGATGTTCCAGATTACCAGAGAACAGAAGTCAACAGGCCTTCCAATGATTGTGGTCTTCTGAGGCTTCTGGCATTTTCTGTAAGAAAGAAAACACAATATTTTAGGCCATCACAACTTTTTGTCCTTCCCAAACTGCTTGTGTAGAAAAACTACTGTAATGCTTTTTAATTACCAAGAGAGACAACAGATTAAACATAAGGATGGGAATAATCATGTCTCAAATAGTAATGTTAAAACGCTTAAAATACCACAGGTATGTCTATATTGCATTGCACTGGAATGTGCTAGCTCAGGTCTTTACTCAGTCCCACTGTGGCACTGTGTGTAACTTCAATTATTGTGACTTGCATAAAATAGAACTGTTATATACTCCTAGTGAAATTATGAACAGTCTGCAGAGAAGAATGAAGTTATCATCAAGCACAGATGTTTTATTTACAACATGCTAGAAATAATGGGCTGGAAAACTAAGTAGCATAGTTATCAAAAAAATACTGTTCCATTAATAGGGTTCAAACTCTTTTGTCTTTACATCACTATAAACCCAAGAAGTTGGAAGCAATTTTTGGGAAACTGAACAAGAATTACATAGAATTTAAAGAGCCCTTTCCAGGATTAGATAAGCAACTACAGAAGATTATTGCGAAGTACCTGTTACATTCATACTAACATAATGAGTGACAAAAACCGAACCAAACAAAATCCCCTAAACCTCCTTCCATTTCAAAATTCTTGTATTCAATAGCAAAAATATTCTATCTGAACTTCGATACCCAAGGACTACTGGAAGGTCTGAGTCAACCAACGCTTTTTGTGCTTGTGGCTCATGATCACAGCAGTAACCGAAAAGCAGCTGATGTCCAAGCAAAGATTCACAAAAACTTTGCATGAAGTGCTGCATGGCACAGCCTGTTACACATCTATCACTGCTAAGCTTCAAAAGCCTTTCCAACAGTACTGTGCAGTGGAATTTGTAACTGCGGAGAATGCACTGCTGTGTTCGAAAAGGAAATGAAAATCAGATACCAGCAGAGCTGGTGTTTAATAATATATTAGCTACCCAGAGTCCCAAGTTTAAATCATGCTTATCTTGACCTCAGTGCAACTGTGGGTGGCACATGGCACAGGTGTCCAGTCAGCTTTTCATTTGTTAGTTCAACTTATAGCAGCAGTCTCCAGCAGCACAACAGACCAGCAAAAGCCTGGCACACATACCTCTAGGCACTAAAATTCCAACAGTTTCCTCTGAAAGTTTATTTTCATAGGCAAGATAAAAGAATATGTATCTTCAAAGAAAAGTAAATGTCAGGTTTAAGGTAAAAAAAAAAACAAAAAACCACTTAGCTTAAAGTTTTAGGGGTAAAAAAAGCAGGAGTCAAGTCCAGTCCATGATGTGGCTCTGCATGTGGACAGCTCTCAGCTGCCCTCTGCATTCACTGAACACCACCTGTGCTCACAGGAAGGGTCCCTCTCTGTCCCATCCCATATATTCCAGTACTCAGTATCACATCTGCCACGTCACACACTTTTTCAAGATAAATGAGACAAGTCTAAAGAACAGTGAGATATGCAAGTTATCTTGCTGTGACCTAGGAAATATCACAATAAACTTATATTGTACATCACAAATCATTTTCTGTCCACTGCAGTAACGCTATTTTTAAAAGGAAATGCAGCTTCCAGCAGAAAATTCCTGTCTATACTCACAATAGGGGATCTTTTATAAACCTAACTTTTTTTGTAAATGACGAACAAACATTATACTCTGAAAGGCAGAGCATCACAAGAATACTCAAAGAAAACCTGACAGCAATCAAGCTCTATGTGTTTCTAGACAGCTCTCCTTCTCCCAGGAGGCAAAGGCTGAAATGCAGTAATGAAGGAGTACCCTACCAGAATAAATTGCGGTTAAAACTTCTGAGGAATAACAAATGATGGCATCTGAAACAGAAGTTAATAATTATAAAAATTTCATTTGCACGGGCAAGAGCCTCTGCATCATTTCTCTCTTAAAATAAAAGTTTGAATGTAACATGGGTGGCTGATAAAAATGTAACATGCAAACTGAAAATCCATCATCAACACATTCAGTGTTTTCCTACTACAGTTTTAAAATAACAGAAATTAACTTTTTGTTTTCTAACATTTCCCAAATATGTGTGGTGAACAGAGGTATAACACAAAGTAATTGGCAGTTACTGGCCAACTACGAATTTTATCAAACTTCTAAACACAATGGATAACAAAGTTTCATTTTTATTTTGAGGAGTTGAAGCTTCCAGCCTTTACACTTATGCAAATAGCCTTAAAAAGCCTATGAGAAACCCAAAATAACTGCTGGGAAGCATGAACAAACACACAGTCATTCTGAAGTCCTTGGATTACATTGCTAAGCTACTGTGTAAGTTTCTTGGGGTTTTTTTCCCCCTAGCCAATACCACAAAATTTACCATTGTCATTATGTACAAGCCCAGCCTTTTGTCCTACCTATTATCTAGCATTTTGTTCAGCTTATTCTACTTGACCTGAGTACAACTGACTGCACATTTTCCACTCTAAGCAGGCACAAACTGGCTGGAACACAATACCCACTTCCCATGTTGCTGCACAGCACACGGCAGGCAGAGAACCAAGTTATTCAGAGAGCCAAGGGCTTACAGCAAAGACTACACAGCTGAGATGCTTAGACAAGAACTCCTGCTGAGCCACAACACGCTAGGAAAGCAATCCTTCAAAGACTTTCTTCCACAGCATTCACAGGCTAAGGGACACACTGAGCCTTACATAACCAGCCTTGTAATTACTGAAAGTTCAATGCACCAAACACCAACCCAAAATGAAAACAGTATGAAACATCTGTAGCTTTCAGGAAGGAGTTGAGAGTACTCAAACTCTAGATGAAAAGTATTTCAAGAAGATGGAATAAATTAACAGTGCTAAATACATGGCAGTTCTAATGGCAAAACCACAGCATACTGTCACAGAATTGGTTCCGCTGTGTTAACACACAGAGCTGACTTCAGGAGCCACTCAGTGAATCTCAGGGATTAAGCAAACCATGACTCAAGTCCTAAAGAAACACAATAATTTGCCTTTTCACACCTTTTAAATGCCCAAATGATATGTACATGAAAACAGTATCTTTACATTTAATCTTTTCCTTAAGGCATTTGTGTATATTATGAGTTAAGAAAACAACCAACAGTTCCATCAAACAACTGATGCCTCTTTCCTGAAAGAGTAAATAAAAAAGTAGAACTACCACAATCTTGATCCCCCCCAAGATCTGTTCAAATATATAGAGAAGGAAATCTATTCTGCTACTGTCATTTTTGAAGCAGTAAATCAATTTAAATAAAGACACCTAAATCACCAGGACTAAGATCCAACTGAAACTAAATTATGTCAATAAATACTAATTGTGTCAATCAATACTATCTGAAAATGTATATATTATGTACTGATGTGCACTTATACAATTACTATGTATGGAACAATTAAGTAATTATTGAGTGAATTTCCAGAAAACAGGCTACATGGAAGACAGTTTCTTAGGCTTAATAATTTAAATTTAATTGTTAAGAGTTTTATAACAATAGTTGGGCATTGAAGTGTATGAAGAAAAAAATAAGAGGCAGAACACAAAAATAAAAATCAGCTTACAGAATCATAAATATACTGGGGTCAGAAGCTACCCACAAGAAATACCAAAGTCCAGCTCCTTGCCCTGCACAGGACAGCCCCAAGAATCATATTGTGCCTGAGAGCACTGTCCAAACACTTCTTGAGCTCTGTCAGGCTTGGTGCTGTGACCACTTTCTTGTTCCAGTGGTCAACCACCCTGTGGGTGAAGAACCTTTTCCTGATACCCACCCTAAACCTCCCTGACACAGTTTCAGGCCATTCCCTTGGGTCCTGTCACTGGTCACAGAGCAGAGATCAGTGCCTGCCCCTCCTGTTCCCCTCATGAGGAAGTTGTGACTGCAGCGAGGTGTCTCCTCCAGGCTAAGCAAGCCCAGTGCCCTCAGTTGCTCCTCTACACCCTTCGCCACCTTCACAATCTCCTTGGTAGTTACAACTCACATAAAACTGAACAGCTTTCTCCATCTTTCTTCTCACCTCAGTCAACTCAACTGTACTAACTCGACCTGCTAAAACAATTTAAAAACCAAACACTTCTTATTAGTTTAACAAGCTTTTTCTGCAGAATGCATACCCACTGAACATCACACCACTGTGTAAAGGAAGATGAAAAGGTAAAAAGAGGAAAAGGATACAGGACCAAGAACACCACACCACCTCCCTCATCTTTTCAGCACACGCCAGTCATCCAATCTGTTAAAGCTGTAACAAGAGAACACCTTCACCTGAAGCGGATTTGTAACAAAGGCAAAAGCTGTTCTTGTATAAACAGCAGTAAATCAGGATGGGGATTTACCAAGTGCTGTCAATACTGGAGTTAGACAGAGACCATGCTGTGGCACTGCAGGAAAGCTGCCTGTCAGCTGAGCCCCAAAGCTACCACCAGATACCAGGTCAAAACTGAAACCACACTTCAAACTCCCCATCACTTGCTCACCATCCAAGCAATACTAACACTATCCTCTGCAAACAAAAACTCTGAACACTGTGGCAGACCAACTGATTACAGGCAGCAGCTCTTTATCACTGGAATGATTACAGTCCCTACATCTCTGCTGACACACTGGTTAAATCTTTCCAAAGGCCAGGATACTGTCCATATACTGCTTGCCAACAGTAACACATGAGAAGACAAGAGACTAATTAGCTCAGACAACATATTTAGAAAGCACTTTATTAGACTGAGTATTAGTATATTTGGGACTTTAGCTGCTACTGTCATTTTAACAAATAAAATATGATTTCAGCCATTACTGCATCATCACATTCTAATTCCACTTCTGTATTTCAGTACTCAAGTAGATGTTAAGGTGTATAATTATCGTGGTACTTCCTACAGTGACTGCAAATAGAAAAGCTGTTGAAGAGCAACATTTTTGTAAATCAGCTTGTACAGAACCATGGCATTTAAGATAAAATATAAAAATTCAAACT